TCCCAAAGTGCTGGAATTACAGTGTGAGCCACCGTGCCCAGCTACAAATACTTTTCATTTTTCCGCAGCATCCAGTACAATGTCCAGAAATGTGGACCCAGCCTGAGCTTAAGTCCAAGGAGTTGGTCAATTAGACTAAGCCAGGGTGGAGAGACAGCCCTTTCTCTGTAGATCCCTAGCCCAGATAATACATTTTACCTTGAAAGATAAGCTCTGGGCCAGACACAGTGGCTCTAGCCTGTAATGCCAGCACTTTGGGAGGCTGAGGTGGGTGGATCACTTGAGGTGAGGAGTTCAAGACCAGCCTGGCCAACATGGTGAAACCATTTCTACTAAAAATACAAAAAATTAGCCGGGCGTGGTGGCAGACACCTGTAATCTCAGCTACTGGGGAGCCTGAGGCAGGAAAATCACTTGAACCCAGGAAAGTTTGCAATGAGCCAAGATCACAGCACTGCACTCTAGCCTGGGAAACAAGAGCAAAACCTCGGATCAAAAAAAAAAAAAAAAAAAAAAAAAAAGAAAGAAAAAGACAAGCTCTGCAGTGTCTTCTCCACACTACGCCCTCTTGTCCTAGTCCCACGGTATTCCAGAGACCCCGAACCATTTATTGGTTCCAGAACGAGGCCTAAGTAGCTGTTCTCCTTGCTCTTCACCTGGCTGAGTCCTGCCAGCTGCAGCCTCAGCTCACAGGCTTCCCCTACTTTCTCAGGCAGATTTAGGTGCCTCTTCCGTGTGCTCTTAGCACAGTGCTTGTCTCCATCTCACTCATTAGACCATCATGTATGAGAGGTCAGGGAATGGGTCTATCTTGTCCATTGTACTTCTATCACCTTCCGTAAGCCCTGCACGTGGCAGTTGACCACTAACTGTTGCCGTTGAATGACTAGTTTATACCAGTTTGCTTTTTTTTTTTTTCTGAGATGGAATCTTGCTCTGTCGCCCAGGCTGGAGTGCAGTGGCACAATATCGGCTGACTGCAACCTCCACCTCCCAGGTTCAAACTGTTCTCCTGCTTCAGCCTCCTGAGTAGTTGAGACTACACGCACACATTACCACACCCAGCTAATTTTTGTATTTTTAGTAGAGACAGGGCTTCATCATGTTGGCCAGGATGGTCTTGATCACCTGACTCTGTGATCTGCCCACCTTGGCCTCCCAAAGTGCTAGGATTACAGGTGTGAGCCACCACACCCGGTCTATACCAGTTTTTTTTTTTTTTTTTTTTTTATGCCAATTGGTCTGGAATAGTCCTACTTCACACTTGTGTTTTGTTTTTTTTTTTGAGATGAAGTCTCACTCTGTCACCCAGGCTGGAGTGTAGTGGTGTGATCCCGGCTCACTGCAACCTCCATTTCCCGGGTTCAAGTGATTCTCCTGCCTTGGCCTCCCAAGTAGCTGGGAGTACAAGTGCCCACCACCATGCCTGGCTAATTATTAAAAATATTTTTGTAGAGACAGGGTTTCACTATGTTGGCCAGGCTGGTTGGGAACTCCTGACCTCGTGATCTGCCCGCCTTGGCCTCCCAAAGTGCTTGGATTATTATAGTTGTGAGCCACTGCACGTGGCCCACACTTGTCTTTGTTTGTTTGTTTTGTTTTATTTTGTTTTGAGACGGAGTTTCACTCTTGTTACCCAGGCTGGAGTGCAGTGGCACAATCCCAGCTCACCGCAATCTCTGCCTCCTGGGTTCCAGCAATTCTCCTGCCTCAGCCTCCCAAGTAGCTGGGACTACAGGCACACGCCACCATGCCCAGCTAATTTTTTTGTATTTTTAGTAGACACGGGGTTTCACCATGTTGACCAGAATGGTCTTGATCTCTTGACCTCGTGATCCACCCGCCTGGGCCTCCCAAAGTGCTGGGATTATAGGCGTGAGCCACCGCGCCCGGCCCACTTGTCTTTTTTTTAAAGACACAGATCTCTCTCTATATCCCAGGCTGCAGTGCAGTGGTATGATCACAGCTCCCTGCATCCCTGAACTCCTGGGCTCAAGCGATCCTCCTACCTCAGTCCCCCTGAATAGCCAGGAACCAAGGTGCTTGCCATCACGCTGGCTATTTTATTTTTTTTGTCGGGGGGTGTGGTAGAGACAGGGGTTTACTGTCTTGCCCAAGCTGGTCTCAAGTCATCCTCCTACCTCAGCTTCCCAAGGTGTTTGGGATTATAGGCATGAGCCACTGCACCTGGCCCGCACCTGTCTTCTTGCTTGGCTATTAATTGCAATCTCTTTCATTCTCAGAATTGATCTGGTTTGGATGACAAATTATATTGGCAACCTACTTTGTTTTTAATTTTTTTAAAGACAGGGTCTTTGTTCTGTTGCTCAGGTTGGAGTGCACTGATCATAGCTCACTGCAGCCTTGAACTCCTGAGGTCGAGTAATCTAGCCTCAACTTCCTGAGTAGCTAGGACTACAGGCATGCACCACCACACCCGGCTGAGACATCCTACTTTAAAATATGTCAAACTGCACAGCACAATTCTTTTTTAAAAATACAGATTTAATGAGATAATTTACATGTCGTAGAATTGAAACATTGTAAGTATACATTTGGATGATTTTTAGTTAATGTACACTGTTGTGTAGCCATCACCATAATCCACTTTTAGGAAACTTCCCTCACCCCAAAAGGCTCCCTTGTGTCTATTTGTAGTCAGTCTCTGCTCTCACCCCCAGCCAACCTCTGATCTACTTGGCATAGTTCTGCCTTTTCCAGAAATGTCATAGAAATGGAACAGTATGTAATTTTTTTGGCCTGGCTTCTTTCACTTAGCATGATATTTCTGAGGCTCGTCCGTGTCGTTGTAGGTATGAGTATTTTGTTCCTTTTCATTGCTGACTGGTATTCCATTGTGCAATTATATCATAATTTACTTATCCATTTATTTGTTGATACACATTTGAATTGTTCGTAGTTTGGGAAATAAACAGATGTTTTGAATCAATGTACAAATTGTTTTCATTTCTTTTGGACATATACTTTGGAGTGGATTGCTGCGTTGTAAAGTAAGTTTAACTTTTAAGAAACTTCTGGCCAGATGTGGTGGCTCATACCTGTAATCCTAGCACTTCGGAAGGTTGAGACAGGTGGATCACTTGAGCCCAGGAGTTCAAGACCAGCCTGGGCAATATGGTGAAATCCCATCTCTACTAAAAGCACAAAAACTCAGGTGGGAGGATCACTTAAACCTGGGGAGGTCAAGGCTGCAGTGAGCCATAATCATGCCACTGCACTCTAGACTGGGTGACAGAGTGACACTCTGTCTCAAAAAAAAAAAAAAAAAGAAGAAAGAAAAACTTTCTTTTTGTTTTTTGAGATGGAATCTTGCTCTGTTGCCAGGTTGGAGTGCAGTGGCTCGATCTTGGCCTACTGCAACCTCCGCCTCCTGGATTCAAGCAACTCTCCTGCCTCAGCCTCCTGAGTAGCTGGTACTACAGGTGCATGCCCCCCCAGCCAATTTTTGCATTTTTAGTAGACACAGGGTTTCACCATGTTGGCCAGGATGGTCTCAATCACCTGAGTTTGTGATCTGCCTGCCCCGGCCTCCCAAGGTGCTGGGATTACAGGTGTGAGTCACCGCACCTGGGCACAACTCTAAACTATTTCTAAAGTGGCTGCATCACTTCATATTTCTACAATGTATGAGGGTTTGTTTCTCCACATCCCCCCAACACGTAGTATGGTCTGTCTTTACATCCAGCCTATTATGTAATACTGATAGCTCATTGTGGCTTTCATTTGTATCTCCCTAATGACTAATCATGATGAACATTTTTTTTCTTTTTTCTTTTTGAGATGGAGTCTTGCTCTGTTGCCAGGTTGGAGTGCAGTGGTGCAATCTTGGCTCATTGGGTTCAAGCGATTCTTCTGCCTCAGCCTCCCAAATAGCTGAGATTATAGGCGTGCACCACCACACCCCACTAATTTTTGTATTTTTAGTAGAGATGGGATTTCATCATGTTGGCCAGGATGGTCTTGATCTCCTGACCTTGTGATCCACCTGCCTTGGCCTCTCAAAGTGCTGGGATTATAGACCTGAGCCACTATGCCTGGCCCAATGATGAACATATGTCCAAGTGTTTATCAGCTATTCATATATTCTTTTTTTTTTTTTTTTGAGACAAAGTCTCACTCTTGTCTCCCAGGCTGGAGAGCAATGGTGTGATCTCTGCTCACTGAAATCTCCACCTCCTGGATTCACGTGATTCTCCTGCCTCAGCCTCCTGAGTAGCTGGGATTACAGGCACCCGC